AGACTTCGGTTTAGCGAAAGTATATAGTAGGAGCCCTTAATATCCTAATAAGAAAGCGATTAAGGGATCGAAAGAAATTTAGTTACTAGATAGAGTATACTATAAGGCAACTCCGTAGAGTTATATATATCCGCGCGCTCTATAGCGAGGATTAATATACGTAATTTTATCTAGCCGTAGAACCTAATCTAAGCCTAGTTTAATAGTAGAATTCTTTACTAATCTACTTAAGAAATCTAGTAGGGATTAGACTAAGATATCTATACTAAAAGTCTCCTAGGAAAATTAGAGCTAGTACTTAACTATCGGTATACTAAAATATATTATTAAACTATAATACCTAGGTATAGACGCAAATATAAAATTGAATTTTCTCTAGGCTATACTATTACTACTAGTAATAGTAAAGGGAACCTAATTTAGATAGTATTACGCCGTCTCTATTTAGTCTTTTAATATTTGCTAATAGATAAGATAGAAAGAAAAGAAATAACTACGTCTCAGACGATTCGCGAGTCGTATCTACTAAGATAAGGCCTCGCTTTAAGGTATATTTATTATTATATCTAAGACGTTAAGATAGGTATAAAGAAGAGATCTTACGGAAAGCCTTTAACTCTATAGTCGCTTCTAAGCTCTTATTCCCTTAAAAGAGTCTCGTTATCCTTATACGCGTAAGTCCCTATTTTTATACGCTCTATATTAAAGCTCTATCTCGTATTATAGTACTTTATTAGGACGAGAATATACTAGATTACGCCTAAATTATCTACGCTCGGATATAGCCTAGCCCTAAGAGTCCTACCTTTTACCTTTTCTATAGTCGAGTATAATCTCTATACTTAGTTACTACTAAACGTATAATATTTCCTAAGAAGAGTTATTATTACTATAATTAAACTCTTTACTAATCTCTATTACTATTACTCTACTATCGCGAACGTCTATATATACTAACTATACTTATATACTATACTATACTCTTACGATATACTATAGCCTAAGGCTTTACTTCGACTATATATATCTTAGAAGCGGTTAAAGTAGCTATAGGTATAGGCTATTAACCTAGTAGAGCTTAAAAGGGTAAGATAAGGCTATAATAATAATATCCTACTCGATTATTAATACTCGTAAGAAGTCTACCTCTACTAGGCTTATCGCGAAGGCTACGTTTTTCTATCGGCGGCTACATTTTCACGGCGCTGCCTTTTCGCGGCGGCTGCATTTTTATAGTGCTGCTTTTTCGCGGCGGCTGCATTTTCACGGCGCTAGCCTTTTCGCGGCGGCTGCATTTTTACGGCGCTGCCTTTTTACGGCGGCTGCATTTTTACGGCGGCTGCATTTTCACAGCGGCTACATTTTCACGGCAGCTGCATTTTTACAGCGGCTGCATTTTCACGGCGCTGCTTTGTCGCGGCCGCTGCTTTTTTGCAGCGCGGCTGCTTTTTTAGGGCGGCTGCTTTTTTACGGCGGCTGCTTTTTCACGGCGGCTGCTTTTCTACGGCGGCTGCTTTTCCGCGGCGGCTGCTTTTTCGCGGCGGCTGCTTTTTTATGTCTGCCGCCTTTTCATCCGCCGCTTTTTTATCTGCCGCTTTTTCATCCGCCGCTTTTTTATCCGCCGCTTTTCCTTCCGCCGCGTTTTTAGAACGCATCGTTGTATAGCTTAGCAAAAGCTAGTTAGCAATTCCCTCTTTACTATTTAGCAATTCTCAACCTATAAATAGCAAAGCGCTAGTGCCCGGCTCTTAGCGTTCTTGTTACTGTAAATAGCTAGAAATAGCACTTTGCTAAGGGATGCGGCGCGTCGCGTCTTTTCTACTACAAACCTTATCTTATATCGATAGAATTTCAATAGTATAGACTAAACTAAGGTATTATTATCGTTACTATGTCTTTCTTAGTATTACAGAGCGAGGCTCTAGTACCCTTAGCTTCTTAGGCTCTTTACGAGTCGTCTATTCTATCGCAAGGACTATATTTCGGTAGTAGTGCTAAAGACCGCTAAGCGGACGATTTCTTCTAAGATATTAAGTCGGTCGAAGGGTAGGGAGTAGTAGGTAGAAGCCCTATTACTAACAGTAGAATTAGAGATAAAGAGTCGGTCGAATTAGACGGTTTAAATAATAAGGAACGGCGTAAATACGAGCTCGAAAAGGAGGCGGAAGAGGAAGACTAGGGCATAGAAGAATAGCTACCTATAGAGCTAACTAGTAAAGAGGTTACTACTAAGGTAGATAGATAGGCTAGAGGTAATACTAATGCTAAAGGCGAGACTAATAGTAATAAGGAAACTGTTTAACTATTGTTAGCACCTCCGAGGGACACTTATCGCTCTATAGATGCTGCCCTCTTAGCAGTTTAAGACTACGTAATAAGAGCCGGTTATTGTTAGGCTATTAAGTCCGGAAACAGGTCGAGGGCGAAGATCTATTAAAATACTAAGGTATAGGTATCTCGGTAGCTTCTTTATAACTAGGGCGGCACGCTATCTAATAAGGTAAAGACAAAGCGTCTAAACGCGGTCTCTGCGCGCAAGAAGTGTCTAGCATTACTTACGTTAAGTGCGTGTAATCCGAAGAATCTAGAGGGTCGTTAGCAGGTTAGAAAGATAAGCGGCTAATATAACTATTAACCTAAGCCGCCTAAGTACTTCGCTATACATAGACGACGCTAGCGTAACGAGAAGATTAAGAAGATAATTGTCGACGATCTAAACGCTAATACCGCCGTATATACGATACTACATAGGTTGATAGACATAAAAGAATGTAAGTATTAAGGCAGTCGCATTTCTTAAATGCACTCGGCCGAGATTCGGCCTAAGCCTAATTTCCTCCTAAATTATACTCTTCCTTACTCTCTCTATAAATAACACACTAACAACTACATTCTATAGGTATATAGCTAGCTAAAGACATCGCCAATGTTTGAGCCTATATACGGAAGGCAGCGTAAGGCGATCTAACCGCTTCTAAAGCGCTTTTTAAGCTGCTAGGCTAACTGGGTTTCTACTAGAAGAAGGAGGTAGATTTAGCCGGTAAACTCGATAAACTCCTCGTTCTCAACCCTTAAATAGCCGAGTTATATAAGTAGTATCCTAAGTACCTTATTATCGACAATACCTATAAGACAAACAAATACAACCGTCCACTTTTAAACATTATAGCAGGCACTAGAGTAGGTAATACTATTCCCTTTAGATACTATATTATAGGCAATAAGGACGAAGCTGCGTTTACCTAGTTTGCTAAGAACTTCAAGTCGCTTTGTAAGGTATACAACCTGCCTCCGCTAGGCCTATAGGTTACAGATCGAGACCGTAGTTATATAAATGCCCTTAACAAGACATACCCTTAAACACCGGCTCTTATCTGCGCCTAGTATGTCTTTAAGAATGTCTAGGCTTAGGCTCGGAAGCTAATGCCTTAGAAGTAGGTTGTTAATAAAGAGACAGGCAAATCTAAGTAGCAAGACGACCCCGAATGTGCTATATTCGTAGACAACTTCCGTACCTATGTCTATACTAAGACAGAAGAAGAATTTAATACTAAGGACTAGTAGATAGCAAACTACGAGAACCCTTACTATATAACCCTTCGAGCCTATATTCTACGTAAATACTAGAGCTATAAGCACAAGCTAGTATACTGCTTCTAGTAGAAGAAGTTCCCCTTCTACGGGCAATTAGTTACTTCGAGAGCTAAAGGTGCTTACTTAATAATAAAGAAGTAGCTTGCTAGTAGGCGCTATAACATTCTTACCCTATTCCTTAAGCTAAAGCTATAGTAGGCTCTTCGCTATAGAGAGATAACTATACGCACTAGTCGTAAGCGGATCTAGGTACCTAGCAGTCTACGCCGACCTGAGTTTGCTAAAGCTAACCTAAAGATCTACCGCAAGGCTCTATTTAAGGGCCTTAATTAGCTAAAGTTAGCGTACGACGAGATAGCTAAGCTTGCTAAGGAGCCTAGCAAACAACGCTCTTAGTACTTAGGCTGCTTTCGAGTTACTTAAGGTGTTGTCTATAAGCACACTATTATCGATACGATTAAGTTAACTAGATCCTTCGAATTCGACCCTTATACGCACTTTAACCGACACTAGTATATCGATAAAGCCGCGGCTCTACTACGTACTATTGTCGAGGTAGAACGAGCTATCTAAGAGCTATCTACATTGCTAAACAACCGCCGTAGAAGAGGTAGAAGAGGTAGAGCGGCACCTAGAAGACACGTCCGTACTAATTAACGAGAGGCTTCTAGCTTCGAATACGTAGATTAGTTAAACCTAGCTTCTTAAAGAGGCCGTAGAAGGCGTACGAGGGCATCTATATAACAACCTCGTACTCGTGCGGCAATATAACAACTACGGCCTTTAGCTCCGCTAGTCTATATACCTACTAAGCGCTACGGCTTTATTAGCAACGATCTAGCTAGCATTTAAAGAGCCGCTATAGCACTCAATCGATAACGTCTAATAGCGCTAGTACCGCCTTACTCGGAGCGATAGTTTGTCTAGTTCTATAGTAGTTAACCTATACTACCGTATACTCTAGGTCTACCGGTAGCGATACAATATACTATATTCGACTATCTACCGCTATTAAACTAACAGGTATACACCTAGCAATAGCACTAGTATATACTAGGTTCTATAGCTCTACTACTATCTATAGCACTACTCCGTAGAGGTATATAGTAGTAGCAAGGTCTATAGTAGTAGTAGCTAGTACTATACCCTCATAGTTATTAGTATATAGGTTATAGCAATCAATTCTAGTAGTCTTATATATCTACTTAACCGACAGCCTCCGGAAATGCCTTATTCTTAGCCCTTAGCGTTACTAGCATAGAAGGGTTCCTATATGCCCTTGCTTAGTTACCTAATCGAGCATAAAGGGGTAGAAGTACACTATAAATCGTCCGTGCGCACTCTTGTCCGTATTAAGAAGAGGGAATTGCTAAATAGCAAAGAGGGAATTGCTAACTAGCTTTTGCCTATAGCTTCGGCACTTCTTGCAGCTTTTCGTCCAATAGCATACTCTTTAACACGCCTTTATGCTTTGGTACGAAACTCCAGCTTGCTACACGGTGTGAATCGGGTTCAGTGTCGACATCCACCTCCTTGTCAGCAGCCTCAACAGCGTTCTAAGCCTCGATAGCGTTCCAAACCTCTTCTCCCAAGGCGGCATAAACACGAATAGCCTTGAAAACTGCGTGAATCTGCATAGTACTGCATTCGCTGGCAGTTTGGAGCTCCTTGTAGCACCCGCAACACTTCTGAGCTGGATCCGAAGAATGTGGTTCGAGACAAGCAGCCCTGTTGTGGCCGACCTGGTGCGTGCCTCCGGGCAGTCCCACGCGAAATGGTCCTTATCACCACAATGACGGCGACGAGCCTCGACCTCCTTGGTACGTTGTCTCAGTGGAGGAGCCATCTTCCAGCTTCTCGCCACCGGTGTTATTGTTATCATCGGCCTGTCAGCCACCAGCGCCGCCGTAAACTGGTGTCAGTCTTTCAGATATTGTCGACATCATCACATAGTACGCTATCCCAAGCAGACGCACCCATGCTATCAGACAGTGGTGTTGGGTAATGTAGGTGTACTTGGAAGTGTGCAAGTTGCAGGTCAAGCGAAGGGCTGACTTCCTCGTGCTTGGTTTTCGCACTGGAGCTGCAATCTATCAAGAAATACCACAAACAAGATGATACAACGTGAACCACTCGGGGAGATCTTGCTTCTCGGTACCTCAGATCCTATAGCGGTCTTTGCCAACATGAACACCCTAGTTGGTTTCGGCCAATAGAGATCAGGAGCCAAACATTAGTTATTCTACTCTATCAATGCTATCTATTATCCCATCCAATTCCCACCTCTCTGCCACCTCTCTACCACCTCCAAGCCCTTTCTTTTCCTCATCATTCCCATTCCCATCGATCTATTACTCTAAACGCTGAACCATCCCATCCCTTCCTCACATCCGCATCACCTCCAACCCCATTCTTCCTATTACCATCCTATCCCATCCCATCCCATCCTATCCCATCCCATCCCATCCCATCCCTATCACTCTCACTCTCATATCCAATCTCTCACTCTACCCCCTCCCTCCCCTCCCAAACTAAATACCTCCACCAAACCCTCCCCTCAATCCACCTCCCTGTAATCCGCATCTCCTCAACATCCCTCCCCATCCTCTCCAACTCGCCCCAAATCTTCTCAAAAATCACCTCTTCTAAAAAGTTCCCCCACCAATTCCTCCCCGAAACTCTTCTCTTCGCATCAAACACCGAGACACCTCCTCCTAGGCGACTCGTGCTCCCATTCCGAATCTGAGCCACAAGGTTGGCGATGGGTGGGAATTGTCGGGTGATTTCCACAGGGATGTTTTCGTTGGTGCCGTAGTCGTTGATGAGGTTTGTGAGTTTGGCGGAGGCTTCGGAGTAGGCTTCTCGGACGTTTGCAAGTGCGATGTGGATTTTGTAGCAGGTTGTGACTTTTTCGTTGAGCGACAAAAGGGTTTGGGAGAGGGACTCGGTAGGCGTTGGTGTAGGGAAGAGGTAGGGACGGAGATGGGTGTAGAGGGGGAAAGATTTTTGGTGGAAGAGACGGGGCCAGAAGGAGAGGGAGGAGGAGGAGTAGAAGGCGATGAGGCGGTCGAGAGAGATTGTATAAACTGAAGAGGAGGTGGTGGTGGTTGACGTGCGGGTGGAGCTGAGGAGGCGATAGATGTCGTTGATGCTTTCGAGGATTGTTTGGTTGATTGTTGTGTCGATGGCAGATTCGAGTTTTATGACTTTGATGGCGTAGGTTGCGAGGTCGTTGGCGAGGATGAGGGTGTCATGACGGAAATCTTCGAAAACTGATGCTTCAGATAAGTCTGCTGCAGATGGGATGGCATTTTGAGATGGATTGGAATCTTGCTGCCAGCAACCTGTTTCGCTCTGTGTCATGGTGAGGCCAAGGGATGGAGATCCTTGTTGCATGAGCCTTTCCTGGATAGATGTCCATGTCCGGTTGATGGAGGAAGTACCTGGCACGCGACAGGCCGCGACGAGACAGGTATACGCGCTTGCCGCTCCGGCACCGTGGAGGTAGGAGAGTTCTGTCTCTGCGAATGCCACAGTAGTGGTGCTGTCCTTGCGGAGTCGACGTAGGGATGATGGTAGGGATGAAGTCGTCTCCGGCGCTGGCAAAACAAGGATCAATTGAAGCCAGATGAAGAAAATGGCCAAACTGAGAGTAAGGAGCAGACCAATCCACAGGTGGTGTTTTCGGCAGTGTCGCGCCATGTACGCTGCATGCCGATTGCGAAACCAAATGATTTTGACAACAGAGAGCACACCGATACAGAAGCAGCAGATGAATCCGAGCACGTCGATGATGAACGGCAAGTGGAAGTACCAAAAGGCGACAAGCAGTGCTGTTCCAAGGTAGGTGAGCTTGATGTTGCCGTGGCCAGCACAGCGACGAATATTGTCCATCGAAAGAGGAGAGTTGTACAAGTTTGATGTGTGACGGCAAGAAATTCTGCGTTGCTGGAGAAATTCTGGCGAAGTTGGAAGACTCGGGCGACAAAGGCATGCATGTTGGGTGCCCACCTTCGCCGTTTGCCGAAATCAACGTGATTGATGTCAATGTTTGAGGCGCAACATCATGTCTCTGTATCAAACCTTCCAAGCTTGCCAGAGTGAAACCGGAAACAAACATGAATCGCCGCTGTCTCGGCTGGAGAAGGGAGCGTGACGCGCAGTGCAGGCCACTGTTTGGCATGTGCGACAGTTTTGTATTTGTGATATCTGAGAGTATGAACCAGAGTCAAAGTCTCAAGTCATACTCCGTGAATAGTAGATACATGCATGCGTGCCAAGCCCCATGTGCCAGTCTGTAACATTCATCTGATATCGACCAATCACTCTACCTCCATTCAGGCGCCCCGCTTTGTAGGCTTGGCTTAGACACCACCTTCCATACCACCTTCCATACCACCTTCTACCTACCCACCACCTTCCACCTATGCTTGTTTCTATTCTAAATCGTTCTTACATCATCTATACCAAGTACACTAATATCTATTTAGTTAGCGGTCTATGCGAAGCCTATAGCGGAGCGCCTAAAGGCAAACCGTACGGCCCTTATACAATTGCCTACGGGTATTTAGTATAAAGTGAAATACAGAACAACAACCACATTAGATATAGACAAACCTAGAAAAAGGGTCCTACGTATTGATACGGTCTATAGAATTGTCTATACAAAGTACTCTATAAAATGTTAATTGAAACCTCTATCTTCTATATACTAAGACATGTTTCCTACGAGACTCGTTTGTTCTACCCTACCTAGTGTTACTTATATACAAACAGCATATGAAAGCCTAAACAAAGTACGTGCGGGCCGTCGTACTAACTATCTCTCGAACCTCCCGCACTTAGAATGCCTAAATTCTTCTACCTTTGCCTTTATCTCGCTACCGAGGGCTGTATACCTCTACTAACCTAACCCATCAATTATTTGCTGTTACTCGTAGCTACCGTATTAACTAGTACGACCTCGCACTCGATTATACTTCCTTAAGGGCCGCTAGTCACTTCTAGGCGCTTGCGGAGTGTTTCTAAGTGTACCTCGTTGTCGCTGCACCCTATAAATTCTATCTCCGACATTAACATTCGCTATCCAACAATACTAGTAACTGTTCGCACCGACTCGAGCTCCGCAATCTCTAATGCATTAGAGTACCGACCCGCCTCGTCCTATATTAGTGTTTGCGACCTTATCGCCGCCGCCGCCGCCTATATTTCGAGATCTAGCTTCCGATACTCGAGTATAGTAGCTAGCGCGCATCGCCGCCTACAATGCCTCTTAAGAACCTTAGTAGAAAGAAGCAGAATGCCGTAAATCGGTAGAAGACTAAGGAGCGTAATAAGAAGCGCGCGGATAGGCGTAAGCGTGCTAATAGCTAGAGTAATAAACAGCACTTTCTAGCATAGCTTCCTAGGCGCGCTACGGTTAATCGAGAGCGACCAGATTTCAGCTACCTGCTAGCGGTCTAGTAGCCTAAGAACAAGCAAGATTATAAGGCATAGTTCTAGGGTCGATGCGATCGTATTAATGCCGCTAATAAGACTAAGCGCTTGTTATAGGATCAAGTTAAGCAACTCGTATACGATGTAGTAGCGTGTCTAGAAGCAAAGAACGTCTACCGCAATATCGTTACTACTAGCCTTATAAAGCTATTGGACCGCCTCTATCTAGGTAAAGGTTATTAGCTAAAGGATATCCAAATCGATCTAGTCTATGCGCTTATCTTTAGTAGTAGTAATGTCTTACAAATCTCAAAGACAGGCGAGGGCAAGAGTCTCGTGTTTATAGCCTTTACGTATCTGACCGGCCTAATAACGCTCCAATTCACACTACTAAACCGCCTCGGCGAGGAACAGGCAGAGGCTATTGACAACCGTTATTAGTAACTCTAACTAGGTAGATAGGCAGATAGACAGGTTTAGCTAGATAGCATTATTAACGCTGTCAATATTACCTCTGAAACTATAAGCCTCTAGCCTAAGCTATTGGAGCATATCGCTAATAGCCGCTTTCATTATATTATCCTAAGTCTAGAGACTAGTGCTAGTCCTGCATTCCGGAAGCTGCTACAAGATTTAAAGGTGCGCGCTCGCATTAGTCTTATAGTTATTAATGAAGTCTATCTTGTAAACAAATAGCGCGACTTTCGGAAGGAATATACACAGATCTTTGCATTACGCAAGCTGCTCCGTAATAACACAGTCTAGCTTAGCTGCTCTGCGACTATATCTAAGGAGACAGAGGAGTTTATGCTTAAGTATAGTGGCTTCCGTCTCGTTAGTAATTAGCTATTCTAGACTAAAATTATCCGTAGTAGTGTCGACCGTCTAGATACGATATATATACTGCGCACTATTCTAAAGAACTAGCTCCGCTTATATGAGTACCTCTACTTTACAATTAGTAGCGCATTCGACCTAGAAACCAAGCAAGCTACGCCAATAAACATTAAGAAGGCCCTTCTGTTTATCGATAGTCGTAAGTATATCTAGGATTTAGCCAATGTTATTCGGCACTGGCTAGTCGCGACGACCGCTAAATGCGAGGACCTAAAGAAGCGATATACTTAGGACAACAAGGGTATTAATGTGTATACTATAGTAACCTTCTATACTAGCAGTGTCGCTAAGCGAGACTAGAAGCGGCGCTATAGTCGCTTCTGTAAGACTATAGAGCATCTAGATGGTCTATTAGAACACCGCATTATAGTTGCTACGACTGCGTTTAGTGTCGGCCTTAATATACCAGATATTGAGCTTGTTGCTTAGGCTAGATTCACTATTATACGCGATATTGAAGATGTTATCTAGCGGCTTGGTCGTGTTAGTCGTGCTATTCTACGTAGCCTAGCCTTTATTTTCCTACCGTACTACATTAATAATAGCATTAAGCAGCTACTACTAGACTTAAACTATCCGGCGATTAGGCCGCGCGGCCGACGTAGATCGCATGCTCTATTCCGGCTATTAGGTCTCTACTAGTCTAAGCTTCTAGGAGAAGATACTAATACGCCCGGTACTCGAGAAGTCGCTAACGATAATAGTGATAATAGTAATAATAATAGCTATTAGACTAAGAAGGAAATGGAGCTACGCGATAAGATTCCTCGAATATAGCGTAAGTTCTAGAATAATTATCTCCGCGGCTAGTACGGTATGTGCCTACGTAAGGTCGTCCTTCGATATCTTAGTAAGGATAAGGCAATGTATTTCTAGCAGCTACTAGCAGTAGAAGACTGCTGCAACATCTGCAATCCAGACCTAAATACCCTCTACATCGACATACCTCTAGAGGGTACTGCTCCTCCGAAATTCAAGGCACTAAGAGCCGGTACTCGCCTAGCATTCGGATTTAGTATACTAAAGGATTGGGTATTAAAGCGACCTAATATTCGGTATCCGTATTAGTCAAATCGTATAAGATTCGACATTCTATCGATAGAGACTATCGATAATCGTATACTAGCTAACATTGCGAACGTATTTACTGCCGCTAACTCTATTGATATATAGAACGATATTGCTATCGACGAGGATCTCCTAAAGCAGAAAGCGGCGGATTTTGTAGATTGGTTCTAGAAGCTTCAATAGCATAAGTAGCCCTTCTCGATATAGGAAGTTATCGACATCCTAAAGAGTATTAGTCTAGAGGTATTAGCTAAGTAGCGTATAGGCCTCGATACAAAGGCTAAGGCTACTAAAGATAAGGAGAAGGAGAAGTAGGAACAGGCTATAAGAGAGGCAGCGCAGAACGCGCTTAGTGTACGTCGTATAGCTAATACTACCTTGCTAGCTATAATACTATTTACACTATAGCAGCGTGCTACGGCAGTCAATAAGATGAGAAACAGCCTCGTAGAGTCTACTAGTGTGTAGGCAGATCGTCTATATAGCCGCAATAGTTAGGTATCCGGAACTCGAGGCTAAGAACGCCTAGGTTCATCTAGTAGACTAGGTACTTAGCGACAGCTACTACCGCAGATTAGCGCTGCTGCTAAGTAGGCATATAGCCGAGCTGAGCAGATCCTAAGCACTATATCTCGTACTAACGAGGAGCGAGGAGGTCGTGTCTTACGCACCGAGCGTAGACTCTCTAAGGCAGGTCGGCGTATAATAGGTAGCTCTGCTAGTAGCTCTCTAAGTAGGCGTTAAGTATAGGCAATCGAATAGGCGGTATGCTAGACTAGTCGCTATCGTATCGGCTGTCGCTGTCGTATTAGATGTCGCTATCGCATCGGCTATCGCTATCGTATTAGATATCGCTGTCGTATCGATTATCGCTATCGTATCGATTGTCGCTATCGTATCGATTGTCGCTATCGCATCGATTGTCGCTATCGCAGTATTTAGTAGGATTTCATAGTAGATAGTAGACCTTTAACACAACATACAGCATAGCACGTATATCTCCCGTTTTTAGCACTATTACGCCCTTTGTTATAGTCTTTGTTAAAATCGGTATATAGCTAAAGTCGATAGATGTATAAGAGGAAATCGCGATCTTAGAGCCGGCCTAATCCCGCTAATCGGATGTTATGCTATAGTAAATCCGAGCCTTAGCGGGCTGTCGAGGCTTCCTCTATCTAAATCTCCTTCCTCGAATTTACAATGCTTTCTAAACAATAATACCGCCGCCGCTACGCTACGCTAAACCGAGTCGATTAAGCGTATTTCTAGCAAAGCGCGCTAGCAAAAGTGTCTAATACGATAACGACGGCCGCAGCCTTAGGCATACCGAAGTCCTCTTTTCTAAGCCCTATTTCGAGAAGTCCTATTTCGAGAAGTCCTATTTCGAGAAGTCCTATTTCGAGAAGGCCGACAAAGCTAATACTATACTTATCGCACTACATGCTTGCTAGTAGGCACTACAACATATACGGTAGGATAGAAGCGTAGGGCAATAATATGCAATCGAGAACCGCCGAAGCGACCTCTTACGTTAATACCCTCCTATACTTAAAAGAACACTAGCGTTTAGGGATCTAATATAACTAGCGGTTTAAGGGCCGGCTAGGAGCATACTACAAGAAGCACACTAGAAGTATACATTGCCTATAAACCTACACTTAAGCAGGCCGCGAAGCAAGCTAAAAGCAAGCTGTATACGGCGGATGCTCTCCTCGTGTTAAGTTCTTAACGCATTCTATTACTAACTATAACAGAGTGTAGAGCAGGCATTATTAAGCGTGTAATACTAGCGAACTTATAAAGAGTTGGATACTAGGTACCGACTAAAGCTACCTAGAGAACAATAGTCGAACCGCGCCTAAAGTTGTCAAAAAGACAGTGTTAAAAAGATATGCCCCTAGAAGCCTAACACGTGCTACGTACTGCTTCGAGCAGTCTTAATGCGCTCGGTCTCGCGGATAGGGATACGCACTACAGGTATATAATAGTCTTAATGCGCTCGGAGGGAAGGGGGGGTGCGTACTATAGTTGTCTAGCAGAGTCGATGCGCTTACTGCAGTCGTATAGCAGTGCCCTTATAAAGACGTCTTGCTTAAGGACGCCTGTTCGTACCGCGGAACTATAGTATTAACAGCTCGCTGCCTAGAGGCTATATCCGATATCGTACGCTCCTAATCGCCGAAGTTGTAAAGGCTGCGTTATACTAAGCTTAACTAGATATACGTATAGTATCCCGAGAAGAGCCTAATGTAGAAAGCCTATTATAGCAATAGACAAGAAGACTATCTAATGCGGAATTACCTAACAGCAATGCTACTATAGAATAGCTATACTAAGACTGCGATTGATTCCTAAACCTACTCGCTAGGAGAGTCGCCTTTCGGCAAAGCCTATCGGAGACTAAGGACTAGACTGAACAAACAATACCTGTTAAGGGACCTCGACTAATTCTAAGCGGTTCTATCGGTAGCAAGTCGCAGGACTAGCAAGGAATAGTGTTAGTCGCAGTAGAGAGCCACTTCTACTCGCGATAAGAGGTATCTCGATACTGCCGCTATAGTATATAGACAGTTAGTGTATTGCTAGGGGTAGAGGTATTCACTATCGCTAGTCACGCGCAAGGCGGATACTGTCGCTAGTTACGCACGAGGCGGATACCGGCATATAGTATAGTTGATGTAAAGAAGAAGAAGAAGTTGAAGTTAGAAAGCGAAGGTCTATCTACGTAGGTAAGGTTGAGCTACGTAGTCGACAATAGGCAGCAATAACGGCTATATATTACCTTACCAACCTACCCGCTCCTTTACGGCAAGAGCGACATTATTTACTAGACGCTAGCATATAATTATACCTAAGGCCGCCCCGTTAGCCAAATCAGTCGAGTATAGTATACACTAGCAGGTATAAGCTGCGATAGCTATAAGACAGCAAAGTCCAATTAGCACTGTAGTTAATACTATAACAAGAACGAGCTAGAGTTAATACTATAGCAAGAACGAGCTCGAGTTAACACTGCCCTTTGCGCTATATAGCGGCCGGCTAGCTAGCACGACGCCTATCTAGTTGACTTTATCGAGAAGCTATATAGCGGCCCGCTAGCTAGCATAATGCTTATCTAGTTAACTTTATCGAGAAGCTATATAGCGGCCGGCTAGCTAGCTAGCTAGTATAAGATCCTTCGATTGAGCGCGTTTCTAGCAATTGGCGCTAGCAAAAGTGATTAATACGATAACGACGGAGACTAGAAGTAGAGAAATATCATCCTCAATCTACAAACCTATACTCGCTATCTATTGTTCTAATCGTATCCTCTCGTATAGTGTATACTATAAACTCTCTTTAGTTATCGCCCGTAGCATTAACAACCTGAACCTCCGCACCGATTAGCTTAGCCTATCTATTAGCACGCTAGATAGCATCGATCTACTTAGAGTTATTCTCGTTAATAGCAGCACCCCTAATGTTGCTACGATTAGCAGTAGCCTCGCGACTAGCCTTAGCACTATCTATATCTTTAATTACGGCATCCGTAACAGTAGACCGGCCTTCGCAATAGTCCTTGTTACTCTAGTTGAATGCAGCGACCTTCTTACGGATTTGATCGCTACTAAGCTGCTAGATATTATCTAATAACTGTCTACCTTTATTGCTATACAGAGCTATAAATCTATTAGAGAAGAGCTTCTCTACGCGGCTAAAGACGTCAACAGCTGTGTTCTTATAGGTGTGGTAGCTGCTTAGCTTAATGCTAGTAAAGGATATCATTATGTTGCGTAGAGTACGAGACGGCTCGCGATTAAGGGCAATCTTCTTAAAGGTTGCTAGTAGGTTATAGGTCGAGTTGCCGATGCGATTAATATCTTCTAAATACTCGTAGTTGTGTCTGCGATAGTTAGCAATAATCTAGATATAGACACTTATTATAAACTTACATCTTAAGCTGCTTATTAGCCGCTATCGTATAGCCCTTCTTGCTATTAGTAATAATTCTAGACGATAGAATAGCTTCCTAGAGGACATTATTACAACTAGGACTAAGCAGCTATCGCTCATACAGCATTATCCGCCTATAATTGCCTTGCTTAGCGCCGAAGAAATTTGGAACTAAGTGGTTAACGATCCTACGTAGATAACTAATATCGGCGTTGCGAATACTAAGTCGTAGAGTAAGGAAGATCTCAATTTCCTATATCATCCGCGCTATTGTAGTATACTAGGCATTAGGCGCTGCCTTACCGGTACGATACGGCAGGCCGCGCTATGCTTCGATAGAGAGGAGCTTCTTATAGATATTATATAGTATCTCGAGGTATTGCTAAGCTGTTAATCGAGAGAGAGCCTCTCTAATAGCCTATATACGGTTATCCTCGCTAGAGATTACTATGCGACCCTAGCTAGACAACTACTCGATCGCCGCACTAATACTACGTAAGCGGAACGTAGTCTTAAGTAGCTAGAGGATCTTAAAGAACTTCGGCTTGTCTTTACTAACCTTGTTCTTACTATACTAAAAAGCGGTATCGCCCTTTACTATCTGAGCTACTAGTAGAGCCTCGCTATCGCTGTTCTTGTCCTAGTGCGTACGTAGGATAGTGAATGCGCAGTTTATTATAGTATGGAACTAGGCTAGCGATATAAGAAGGCTGTCGCGCTTGTCGTATAGATCCTTATTCTCAACGCTCTTATTACGTATACTATGTCCTCGAAGCACGGTTATGTTATCGCTATTCTAGATGTAAAGGGGTCCCTCTAGTCCGCTTGCAAAGTCCTTCTCGCGATCTAGGTCCTAGAACTTAAGCAGGATCTTATCTTATACAGCATATATGCCCTTAATAGTAGCCTTATTATTGAACGATATAGGCTGCGAGTATACTTCTATACGGGCAGGATTTAGCTCATCGATTATAGGCTAAGCTAGTCGCTTTAGCGCTGCGCTACTACGGCCCTCCTCGTTCTTAAAGATCGTCTCGACGGCTTCTAGGAATGTATACGCAATAGCCTCGTCGATGTAGAAGAGCGCGGTCTTTATGCTAATATCGGTAATCTCCTCTCTATCTAGGCGTATCGCCTTGTCTTCGTAGATATTCTTAAGGATATTATTAGCATTTAGCGGCTTGTCGTAATGAATCATCTTCTTCTTTAGGCTACCCTTCGGAATGCGCTTGTTTACGGCTATATACGACGTAGTTATAGCTACTATCTTATTGGTATCGCTAGTGTTCTAGATAGTACGCTTCTATATACGATTGAAATTGTCGATAGTGCTACTATACTGCTTGTCTAGATGATTGTATAGCTCGGCAATCTGCGTTTCTATATAATCGGCATTCTTGTCTATTAGGATCTAGATAGTCTAGTATACTAGCGTTATATTTAGATTGTTCAAGACCTCGATAGTGCGGCGACTCGCACTATTGCTAATAAGGAAGATACTAAGGATCTTTAGAAAGAATAATGCCTTAATATAAGACATCGAATAGAGGACTTAAGAAGTTAGCATTATCGTACGCTTCCGTATAACGTTACGCTTGTCTGCGAATTTAGTCTAGTACTACTAATAATCGCGGCGTACATTGGGCAGCAGGTCCTAACCGAGCAACTGATGCTATAGAGAAAGCCGGTAGGCTGACCGCACGGTTATGTGCGCTTCTGCTAGAAGTTTGACTCGCGTGGTTGGAGTAAGAGTTTAGAGCCTGCATGGCGCCGTTGGAGATATTAGGCTCTTTAGCTTATTACGAACGATACGAGCGCTAAACAGGCGGTCTTCTAGAAAGGCATCGGTAACAGCCTTAAGGTTCTTCTCGTAACGCTTCGAGCGCTTTATAGTCTTGCGGGACTTAGTAGATACAGATACCGTCTCGCCTAGCTTGCCGACTAAATACTTGACGAAGTATCTAATACTGAGCTTATATCTAGCTATAAGATCCTTGACTTCCTTATACCGCTTATTAAGCACACGTTTCATCGCAATATTCTTAGTAGCCTAGCGCGTATTGTCGAGTGCTTCTTCATCTTCGTCGGCATCCTTATTATCGTTATCTCGGGCTTCGAGTTCTTTATTATTACTTAGCTCTGTATCTTCTTCGCCGAGATCTTTATCTTCCGTCTCCGACTCCGACTCCTTATCCTTAAATTCGCTAATCTTAGGTATGTCCGCCGGTCGCACGATAGTCTCCGGTACATTACTTAGAAATCTAGTGCTCGGTTAGAAAGGCGGCAGACCTGCTAGACCTGCTAGAGCTGCTAGACCTGCTGGATATCCTAGCTGACCTAGCAGTAGCGCATTATCTGAATCCTAGTCTATTAGCTCGCCGTTATCTTATTAGCGCTAAGTTAGAAGGATTAGATTGCCTTCATCGTCGTAGTTATACTCCGTTATCTCGCTCGACAGGTTGTTAGACATCTTAGAAGACTTAAGACTAAGGAATAGTGCTAGCGGTGCTAGCGGTGCTAGCGGCGAGTTTAGGTGTTCTTAGTGTCGACTTTCGAGTCGCGTCTGCTATATACTAACAACTTAACAACTACACCTCGCGCGTGCTTATGTACTATACAAAAGATGTTCGGAAATGGTCGGGCAAGGACCTCCAAGTGTCGAGTCGCCTATTAGACGGTTGTCGTTTTCCTAGATATATTATATCTTAACGAGGAAGTGTCGCGTAAGGATACTGCCTATATAAACGAAGATCGCCGTCCCTAGGAGAAGGACCTCTAAGTATTGAAACACTAATTATAGTATATTGAATATTGGTGTATATTAGCATATAGCTAGCCGGCCTGCTAATTCGGACAGCTATAGCAGAGTAGCTTTAGCAAATATAGCGGCGCTTAATAACGCAACGTCGTACAGACTTAATTCCTAGATAGAATGAAACGCAATTGGTAGTTCTACAATCTCCGCTCTTTAGATTGTTATTTTTCCGTTGTCGTAAAAAAGTAGTATATCGCATACTAGTTTAGTACGGTTTCCTGTTAGGCTTGTAAGCGAAGAATTAGGTAGAGTGCTTGTAATTGGTTATCGGTAAGTTCGGAAGCTAGCCCTAACTGATTGGTCTATCACGTGCACTCGGTCTATCACGTGCACTCGGTCGCAATTTGGTATTTACATATTACGGAACTCAATTCTTCATGCCCACAAGCCTGAATGGAGGTAGCAATCACTCCATTTCGCCAAGATCATATCCCCCCAGAGCCGTGAAAGAGAACATATGTCATTCCTTACTTTTCAAGAAGCTTGGGCTCGTCCCAAACACCGCCAACTAGAGCCCTCAACTTCCTCAAGGCCGGAACCAACTGTCCCTTCTCCCAACAAGCTTTGGCCTCCTCCATCTCCTGCACCAGAATTGGCTTGCCGCAGATCTCCTTACAAGTCATCTGAAACTCGGCCTTGTCTTCGAGGGTAACTGTAGACGAGTTTCGGAGACGAGAGGCCCAGAGTTCGAGGCCTGGAGGGATGAATGTTGGGGCAAGAGTATGAGCAAAGTCCTTCTCCATTTCCTGAATCACTTTTTCTTTTAGCTTGATGTCTTCGTCTTTCTTCTCGATCTCTTCCTGTTTTTGATTGGTGAGTTCTGCCTGGTCCATCAATGCATCATTCGTGACTTCTAGCAAAGCGTTCGCCTCGCGTAGCTCAGAGTCGACCTTCTTCATCTTCTCCGCAACACGGTTTTCGTTCTTGTACAATTTTTCCCAAGACTCATCCAAGAAGCTAGATGTAGTGCGCAAGGATTGCTCCCACTTCTCTTTGTCCTCGCGAATGCTGTCCTTTTCCGTGCGTAGGTTGTTCTCCGAGGTCTTGAGAGCAGACTCTTTGTTCGAGAGGACAACTTCTTGTTCGTCAAGCACGGCTTCACGATCGGACAGCTCGACGGCTCGTTCGTCGAGAGCCATCTCACGACGCTCGAGATCTTGTTCGCGTTGACGAAGTTGGGCGAAGAGGAGAGAGACGTGTGCTGCATCACGCGTAGTACCACGAGCCGCAGTACTGCTGACTTCTTCTCCATTGGAATGATGGCCATCCTCGTTTTGCTGGCTATCGTCGACATCCATCTGGCTTTGTATATTCTTGTCCGCCTCCTTGCCCACATCTTCAAATTCCTTTCCCCCTACTCCGTGAGCGTAAGCCTTGTCGACGATTCCATCAACCCATGACGACTGCGTCTTCTTTCCGATCACTTTCTCCTTGTCATCTCCCCACTGTCTGAGAAGGTAGTTGGTAAGGAAGTTTTTCATCTGTTGTCGATCGTGTGGGACGCCAGTAAGCTTGTAAAGCGTCAAGAACTGTTGAGGAAGGAGCTGGTATGCTGACTTGAGATCGTTCTCCTGAAGATAGGCTTGGTATGCTGGCTTGTGATCAGCCCACTTGCCTTTGGTTCGAGAAGACATCTGGTTTGCCTCTTCTCCGTGATCCTAGGAGATGTGGTGGGCTAGAGGTCAGAAGTACTGTGAGAAGAAAGTAAGTATCTAGGATTGAGGCAGCTCTTTATATCTCGTAGATAGGATGTGGCATTGACGTTTGCTTCATCGGCGGCCGATGAGGTCGGTCCAATCGCGGGGCGGTCACTTGTAAGTAAGTCGACAGTCCGGACCGGTACTATGCTTGAAGTAGGCTTCATGCTTCTATCGCATCGCCGGCCGATGAAAGTAAGCTGCACACTTGCACACTTCCATCGCATCGCCGGCCGATAGAGGTAAGCTACACACTTCTGTCGCACCGCCCGTCGATCAGCATCCATGATCTCATCGACTGGCGATAAGGTAGATATAAGCAATCCAACACCTCGCCTTTCTTGATTCTTCCTATAGAAGCTACCAATCCTGCTACCTTCCCACGCCTATCAGCTTCTACACCAAACATTCAACTTCGTCATGTCAACTCACGAGCCAGACTTCAACTCATGGGATATCGACAAAGCCATCTCGTGGTGCAGTGAAGCAGGATGGGAGCCCACCTCGAAGCCTGAAGTCGGCGCTAAGCGTTTCGAATCACTGAGCGAAGAGGATCTCGTCAACAATGCTCGTATTCAGTGGACAGCCGAAGGAATCAAGAAGGTCCGGGCTTTCTGTGCCAAACACCAAGTCTCTACTCGCAACCGTCCAAGCCCAGAACAACTCCTCAGCCTCGTGGATCAGATTTGTGTTCTGGAGGATGTCACTGCCTTCATGAACGCTGCCAAGAAAGTTCTCTCCTGCATTGACCGATATGTGTCGAACAAGTGCCCGGCTCTGGACGAAGAGCAGCAGGATGACGGAGAGTGGAAGTGTGTTTGGTATCGGTTCAGTGAGGCTTGGTTTCAACCAGGGTAAGTCTTTGTGGTATACGCCATGTCTGGAAGATATGCTGACCTTTGCTTCTTGTAGATGGGATGGGGATATCAAGCCACCTACTGCTGGAGATCCGTGGGCCGAGAGACCAGTCATTGACCACCGCCACACCATGGGAGAGACTAGACTCATCAACGCTGCAGTCGAGGCACGGACTTCTCGTCTGCGCGCTGTTCTTGCCTCCAAAATGGCCACCGCCAAATCGGCCTCAGAGAATGAAGAGAGCACCGTGAAGGCACCAGTCCAGATCACAATCCAAGTCCCAGAGAGCGCGAAGGCTTCATCAGCCATCACCAACAAGGAATCTTCACCAAGTGCAGCTGGAGAGGCCCAGACTGCGGTGCCTGCCGAGAAGACCATGGAAATCGCGGCCGCGTCAACCCAGTACGAAATTGAAGAGGTCCTCGCTACGTACACCGGACAAGACAACCAGAGTTTCATGACCGTCAAGCTCAAGGGACTCCCGGTTCCTGTCGCGGTTCCTGTTGTGGGTGCTGCCACGGCTCCTGGCACTGCCCAGATTGGCAAGAACATCAAGTCCAAGGGTGCCAATGTCCTATCGAAGAGCGGAGCTGCCAAGCAAGTCAGTTTCGACCCCAAGGCTGCTGTATCACCGGAGACTCCGTCACCAAAGACCTGCAGCTTCAGTCGTCGCGAGCCCGACGCTCCAAAGCGTCCTCAAGCCATGAATGTTGAGCACGACAAGAGTTTCATTGCTCAGGACAAGGATGCTGGCGGTTCCGAGACCTCCGAACGTAGCGATGCCAGCAACAACGACGCTGACGAGACCGGGACCCAGGCCACTGAGCGCAACGATGTCAGCTATGACCAGGCTGGCGATTCCGATGGCTACCAAGACAGCGATGCCAGCTCCACAGCTTCGCTGGCAGCAGCCTATGACGGCTTCGTCAAGAACGTCGTCGCTGCAATCCAAGACGGAACGGATGGCAAGGAAGAGAACCAACAGGAGTTCGCCATGCCAGAGCCATTGGCATCGAAAGCAAAGAAGACACTGACCTCTGCAGTCTCATCCTACAAGAAGCCAGCAGCACCATCCTTCACCAAGCAGCCCGCGACGTCCGGACCAGAAGCCTTTTCATCATCCAAGAAGAATACGGCGCCAGCTCCCAAGAAGAATACCGAGCCAGCTCCCAAGGAGATGGACAAGCCTAAGCCGGCTCCAGAGAATTCTCGGCATTGTTCAAGACGGGCCTGCCGACATCAGCTTCCTCCTTGTTCACCTTCGGCCAGGCCAAGGCCGCTGACGACGATTTTGAAGCATTTCTTTGATACGACTTTATTTGCATACACTCCCTCTCTCATATGCAGGCCTGGTTGATTGCGCGACCACATGGGCGAGGCGTGGAATGAGGGGGAATTCGAAGCGACGAAGTTTGGTTTGAGATCGAAAAAAAATGGCGCATGGGCTCGAAAAATTGAATGGTAAGTCATAAGTAGCAGGACTTCAGTGTTCACGCGGCGCCTGCTGGGCGCATAGAAGGAACTTCAAAATCATGTCAGGAAAATCAACCAGTTTCATCCTTACCTTGTGCTTGTCGACTCAGCATTCTTGCCCCCAACATGGCGTTGTATGTACGGCCCAACTGCAAACGAGTCTTTGCCTATAGGCTCAATCGAAACCGCAGCGCAAGACAGGCGAACATCTGCCCTGTAGCTTCACTGCTGTCCAACCCGATCTCCGCCGCGGCGCAAGACAACCCGCTGCCCTGTGGCTTCACTACTGTCCACCTCGTTCTCCGCCGCGGCGCAAGTCAGGCAAGCCAGAACGCCTGCTTTGTATCTTCACTGCTGTCCATCTCATTCTCGTGATCCGTTCTACGCGAGAGATTTCGCTGTTGACGTTCTTGCTCTTCACGGTCGGTCGTTGATATCGCGATTCGGCCTCGTATTGTAGCTTGCTTAAGCCGCGTCTCGTCGGAATCTCCTCGCTGTTTTGGACAGGTAGCAAGTCGTTGCTGGGGCGCGCGCCTCCGAGTCATGCTGCCAAATAGTGTTGTAGTCGTCGCCTTCCAAAGGCTGGCTTCTATGCGAAAATGGCCTGCTAGTATAATACCTAAAGCGCTAGCAGTCAGCCACCCTAGGTCAACCCGAAATAGAACATCGCTAACTAAGACACGGAGCGGTAGTTTCTACTGCCGTGGCCGTCCGGCGCGTAGACGCGTTTGTTTGTTGTTTCCTATATTGTCGCCCTTGCTATCGCTCGTAGTAGTATATGCTTTATAGGAGGTATTATTATCGCCGCCTTGTATTTACTCGCTCTTATTAAAATAGCACTATCTCTATTATATTATAGCTTCCGAGACCTTATTATCGCCGCCGCCGCCGCCGCCGCCGCCGCCTAGTACTACGAGAGTCGCGTTAATCGTTACTTCTACGACTAAGCGGCTATCTATTTTGAGTCTATTAAATCCGGTAGAACGCGACGATATTATCGACTATCTCGTTAATAACTATAACGCGTCGAAGCCTCCTCCGGTCGAGCGTATTTAGTTACTAAATACTAGTAATAAGGACTAGGCGTTAGAGGATAGTAAGGATAGCGGCTATAGTAAAAAAGGCGCTAAAGAACGCGACGAGAAAGATAGTAACAGCGGTAGTAGTAAAGTCGATAGTGCGCCGATATCTCGTTACCGCGGAAAGTATATTAAAGTAATAGTTATCGAAGATAGATATACTATTCTACGCGCGTCTACTAATCTAAGAGCGCTACGTAAGAAGTAGTTAGCTATTCTAGACGACCCTAATAATAATAATAGCAAGAAGGGCTTTATCGTAACGGCGGCGGAGTTTAATATAATTTAGCTATATATTAACAACTTCTAGATATATATAGCGCGCCGAGCGGATAAACTTAGTCGCTAGTATATATTATATAAGTATCGATTTGGCTTTAAAGCGCATTAGTAGAGATAGAAGCACTATAGTAGATATAAGAAGAAGAAGGAAAAGAAGATAGAAGAAGCTATAGCGTGTCCGCTAACTATACGCGTTAATAAGAATATAGCGCTCGAGAATAAAGATAAACTAGACGGCAATCGCGTAGTAGTTAGCTATACTATCTTTCGTAATAATCGGCGCCTAGTCGAGTACTATCTAGGCTATTACCTATAAAAAATAGATATATATCGCCTATATAGCGCTCTTTAGAACGCGGTTAGTTAGCAGGTATATACTAGCTAGCGGCCGTACTAAGTATAGGATCGAATACGTAGTAAGGACTACAAAGTCGCGTACAAGACCTTCTAAGCCGCCGGCGGCGAGCAGATATCGCGCGACGACGTTATTAACTATAGCCGATAGTACCGCAAAGTATTTAAGAATAGTAGGCTTAGTAGAAGCACGTTAATATAGAAGCAATAGATAGCGGAGTATCGGAAATAGCTCGAAGAAGGTATATTTACATTACTAAGTTAGTATTATTTACTACTCGAAGTTCGAAATTAGGAGCTTCCGTATAGCCGAGGTACGGTTTTAGCTAACTACGGATCTCCGCTTTATACGGATTAGCCCGTCGGTAAACCCCGCTCGAATCCCCGAACCCCGGAATTCCTAGAATTCCTAGAATTCTATTGTTTTAATTATACAAATAACGTACTAATACTGCTAAATAGAAGGCTTCTTTTGCGCTAAAGTATATGTAAAAAGATAGATCGACGGCAAGGATACTACTATACTCGTATTTGCATTAAAATGTGGCTTAGGAATTTTACGTAGTCGTATTTTAGTATAAATAGACGCGACGCATAATTCTAACTATCTAGGCTAGTAGCTCTATACCCTTATAGTACGCGACAAATACGGCTCTCTACGATAGGTCGCGTTCTTCCTTACAAAGACTAACGATAGTAATATTGTCGCTACGGCGCTAAAGCAAATACAAGCCTAGACGGTCGATGCTACTAATCTAAACGACTATAGTTAGATAGCAATCTTCTTCCTTATAGACGACTTAGTAGTAGAGCGGCGTACTATTATAATCGCGTTTCCTACTACAAAGCACCTTCTTTGCTATATATATATTAAACGGACGTTAGATAAGCGATTTAAGAGCGAGAAATATACAGACACAAAGCGGTACCTATATGCCTTCGCCTTTTTAAAAAGAAGCCGTAAAGGCGCTCTCGAGTTACTTAATTTAGTAAGGGCGAGTCTTCTACGCGCTACGCGTAAAGATAGTACCCTTATACTAGAGAGCGACGACGACGACTATTAGTTAGACCTCCGCTATTTATAGAAAGAGCTTAAAGACAATATAGCGCTAATTTGTAAGCACTATCGTTGCGCTGTCTTTAGCGCGCCTACTATCGTCGAATAGATATTAAATACTAACTAGCTCGAAGGCTAGCATTTAGTGCTTAAACACAGCGAGTTTAAGGCTATTATAAAGCGCGATTATATACTTAAAGGGACGGCAATACGAGTAATTAAAAAGTTGGCTAAATACGACTTTCGAGCCGATAACGATGCCTTTATAGCGCGTACGAAGGTCTATCTGTAAACAACCGATAGTAACGAGATTGCCTACTTCTTTCTACGACTTCTATAGAAGCTTTAGTAGGCAATTAGCGCTAAGATTAACTACGCCGAAGATTCGAAGGTATATTATAAGCAGAAGCCTATATCCGACGACCTAACCTACGACTATAAATTCTTCCGTTAAAATAGTGTCCTTTATCGCTATATTTAGTCCGCTTATAAAGCAATAGAATATAGGCTAATTAAGACATATAATTACGACCGCTAGATAGCTATATTTAACGACGGTAGACTTAACTATTATAACAACCTTCGTACGCTAACCGCGCCCTTAAATTGCGACCGTACGACCGTACCTACTTACCGGCTTTAATTCCGTAAGCTTTATAATAATATACGACAACTACTATATAAGATTAAAGAGCGACTAACTACTAAAGGTAAGCCGCTCGATAGTCCTCGTCGCGACCGCGTTATTAACAACTTTATTAGTCTTATCTGCAATATTAGCGGCGAGTTAAGATAACGCGCCTTATCGCTATTAGTAGACGACTATAATAATACTACGACCGGCGCTAAGATTAACCTTACCGTACGCGCGAATCCTATACCGTTATAACTTCCTATATCTCTAGAGATACTATCGTCCTTCTACCGCCCGATTATTAACTAAAATATTACTATTAACGCGACCGCCGTAGACGCGATAGTCGGTAAGAGCAAAAACAAGCGGAGGGCGTAGAGTAGTAGTAGTAGTAAGAGGAAGAGTAAGAACGCGAGGTAGGAGCCTAAGATTGCGATAGAGAACGCGACAATACCTTAGCGAATACTACTCGCGCTAGTTAATAGCAATATCTATATAAATTTATATAGAAACGCGACTTGAATCGCGCCTAGTGTTCTATATAGTATTGCGCCGCCCTCTAACTAATAGTAGCAGTAGTAGTACTAGCTCGCACCTCTGCCTATAGGCTTGTTCTATAATAACTATAGTATTATATACTACTAGGGTATTAATAGGCGCGCCTACTATATAGATCTATTAAGTCTATAGTCTATAAGCAATACTTCTATACGTATTTCTACTGCAATATAAATAATACCTCGGATTTAGCTATACCGCTATTTTGTTAACAAACTTTAGCTTTATTTCTAGTAATATACCTAGTATCTATTAGTAGAGAATATAGGGTCGTTAAAGTCTTTTAAAACAGTACGAAATCTATTAAATTGCGACTATACGACCTCTTACTATCGACCTTTAGTATTAGACCCCGCAGTAGTTCGGGTTGGTTTGGTTTAGTTTGCTAAGCCGAAACTCTAGTTTGGTTTAGGTTGGTTTGCTAAGCAACTATATAAGTAGCTAGTTCGAACTATATAATTTATCGGTTTTTAAGAAGTGTACGAATGTATACGTAGCTTTAAGCAAGCCCTTTATAAGACTTAGCAGTGTAGCCGGCAGCGTAGCCGGCATTTTTAGTCCTTAGTACTTATAGAATTTTCGAATCCTACTTAGGCTACGTAGTTGTATAAAGGTACTTATATAACCTCAAATCTATAGACAATTAGCTAAGGGCACTAACTAATTAAAAGCATATATACATATACACAAGGCATTATAGTTTAGTTCGGAAACTGTACTCCTTAGGTATAAATTTCATCCTTTCGTTTACGGTTCAATTCCCTAACTGCTTAGTAGAATGTCTTCATCTAGATCTAGGTAGAACTTATCGATTTCCCTAGAAGTCCTCCTCCTTAAGAAGTTTATACACTTTCCTACCGAACTATTCGACAATATTAAGTACTAGGATAGCTCCTCTCTTAGTATCGGTATAGTATATAAAAGAGCTATAAGGCAGCTCTATAGAACGTTCTACTAGTTACTCGCTATACTAAGGCCGAATGCTAGTTCGTTCCTTAGAACTCTTAGTTATTTAGGAGATATAAAGGGTAGGGCAGGTAGTGACTTCGTATTATATAAGGAGGTAGAGGCTGCTATAGAAGAGGCCTTCAACCTGTAGAAGATAGTGAAAGATATAGAGGCAGCTATAGGTCTAGGTACCTAGTTGAATTTTTAGTAGGTAGAGTATAAGGATATTTAGAGGGAGTATTAGGTAGAGTTGCGAAGGCAGGTATATAATATGCTCTAGAAAACAGGGATAGTGCCTATAACTATAACTATTAGGCTCTTTAACCTTCCTTATTTTTCCCTGTTTTCTTTTTATAAAAATCTAAACTAATACAAATCAACCGGAATGTCTATCTTCTTTTAGTTCTTTAAAAAACCTAGTAGCGTAGCTAGTAGCGTAGCCGGCAGCGTAGCCGGCAGCGTAGCCGGCCTTTTTACTGCTTAGTACTAACGGGATTTTAGGAGACTTCTATTCCGTACGGCTAATAAAGCATACTATACTATATATATATACTTAGAGAGTATTTAGAGCGCGGTATACAGCGCCGTATAACAGCGGCTCATTTCGTATATAGAAAAGCTTGTAGATAATACTACGAACATCCTTTCTACTAGAATATCTATCCTACCTAGCACCGTCTCGAATATAGACATTCTAGCCTTTTAGAATCTAATCGAGTGCTTTGAAATCCTTGTCTATAATCGTTATACGCTTCGCGTAGATAGCTATAAGGTTAACCGCTAAAATAGTATTAGCATAGTCCGAAAAGAGGTAGAAGAGAAACATATATTCGAAGATACGAACTAGGTAGGCTTCTACAGCCTCTTAAAGGGCGCCTATCGCGGAGGCTTAGAAGCGAAGGTCCGTTCTATAATCCTAGGCAATTTCGCGAACAAGTCGTTAGAAAGGAGCTTTGCGGATTAGGAGCTAAGAACTCTTCTAATACTACCGAATCTTACGGAGGGCTACGGCTAAAGAAGGATTAGTAAAAAGACAGTAAGAATGCCGGCTACGCTACCGGCTACGCTACCGGCTACGCTACCGGCTATAAATAGGACTTACTTCCTAGGCGCTATCGACGCTTCGTACGATTAGTACTAGTAGTAGAAGCGCTAGTTGTCGTCTTACGTAGAGCCTTGCCCGCCGTTGTCTTACGCGGAGCCTTACTCGCGACGCCCTTTCTAGTACCGGAGCTAGTAGTAGTAGTAGTAGCCCTCTTGCGTTAATGTACTATGCTCGTTCTGCTATTTCCGGTCTTATTACGACCCGTAGAAGTACTAGGTCCCTTCTTGCGAGGCGTCGTAACTTAGTTAAGTAGACTCGCTATTATAAAAGTCGTCGAATTAAGGAAAAAAGTACGTTACGAAGGTATACGAAAGCGCGCGGAGCGAGGGTATTACGGAGATAGCAGATACAGAGCGTAGAGGTGTAGGTATCGATACGAAGGTTAAATATAGCGGTAGTATCGCGGTATCGCTAGGCAATAGAGTAAGCTTCGCGCAAGCCTATATTATAGTAACGTTAGAGCAAGGAAAGAAGGCAGGCACGGCTAAAAAAGGCAGGTACGGCTAAAAAAGGCAGGTACGGGAGACTTTGAAATACAGCCGGCACATATAGCCGGTACAGTAATAGGCGAAAGCCTCCTTTTAATAAATAGCCGGCGTAATAATAGTATCTTACTACAGTATAGATATTCTTTAGTAATGCCTTTACCAGCTATAGTAATCTTATAAGTAACCTAGGCCTATTGCTAGTAAACACAAGAAATATTAGGTAGGCTATACTAAACAAGCTAGTTATTTAGTAGGAAAAGGCCTACTACCGTCTCTATATGCCGGCTACGAGTGCCGGCTATCGCTCTAAATTCAACTCCGCCCTATCTCGGAGGCTAAGGTACCGAGCGGAAACCTTACGGCTTATATTCACTCGGTTGTCGCGGAGCGCTTATAGGTAAGGTATCAGAAAAGAGTATAAAAAGTACGAGAAGAGTATCCTAGGATATAGGTCATAAGTGAATAAGAGTAGTACGCCTAGTTATTTATATAGTACGTTACTCTATACGACTAAGAGCCTATATTATCTTATACTTCGCTTATAAGACCTCGACTCTACTAGTATACTATCGATCTCTTCCTCGGTCGCTAATACGCTATCTTAATTCTTCTTCGAGTTACCGGACTTAGTACGCATCTATAGCTATGCAATAGCGCTACGTATTATAGAGAATTTCTCGTTAAAGTTTCTCTCTCGCAGGCTTACTATCTGCCTCGTAGTATAGAGGATCAAAGTGCTAATGCTAAAGAATCTCCTTATAGTTAGGATACTAGGGCTCCTTAGGACCTTTATGTTTTAGGTCTAAATAGAGACGTATTATAAACGTTCTATCGCCCTTTCGCTTACTATCCGCTAGGTCGCGATATACGAAGAAACTAATCTGAATATAGCTCGTCTCTGTAATAGCCGGGTAAATATAGAGCGCTAGGTTTCTACTTCGTACCTTAGATTTAGAGACGGCGTAGAGATAAAATTAGAAATGTAGCCGGTACCTATAGCCGGTAAAAGGATGCGAAAATGGGCCTCCTCCTAGGTTAATCTAACGACTAAATACAATTTCCAACTAATCCGCTATAAACCGACGCCGAATTTTAGCTAGAAGCTGCATATCTTTATTTTAAAGAGTAACCCGCTTCGTATAGATAGTAAGGAGGTTTAAAAGCTTAAGCTCGGTTACGAGAAATGCCTCCGTAGCTTCCTAAAGAGCACTAATCGCCTTAGCCGTAAATCGTATACTAGACCGAAAATCTAATGTAATTTCTCGGACGAGTCGCTAAAAGGGAGTCTTAGGGATTAAAAGCTCGGTCCCTCTTTTGTTTTAGAAAAGCCGGATCTAGCGAAGGGTAATAGTACCTAGTTTAAAGCGCCGCTTCTTTATCGTCGAGTCCTGCCTTGTTCCCTTTCTTTTAATAGAAAGATAACTTTTCTTCGCGATAGTCTTCGTCCGCCTACTCTTTTTAGCCTTCTCCTATCTACCTATAGCCTTCTTATTTTTCGGTATTGTTTTCCGAGGAACCCCCTTCCTTTGTATATACTACGGAGAGCCTTACTCTTCCGATATCTCGTTCTCGCTACGGTCTCCCTATGCTTAGCTTGCTTTACCCTTGCCCTTTAGCCTCTAAAGATATTTATCTACGTATTTAGGCGACGAGGGCATATCGGTAGGACTTAGAAATTAATAAGTATATAATCGTAAGGAGACATTAATACTTCTTGCCTTCTAGAATAAATAGTCTTCTATTAAACCGCCTTATTAGGTTATCGTTAGATTCGAATAAAGGATAGTAGCTTAAGAAAGGGGAGGTAGCCGGCTTAGGAAGGCCCGAAGAGCCGAATCCTTAAGGCATGTTTGTCTTTAAGAATATAGGGAAAGGGAAGAAGGAGAGGAAGAGCGAATAGAGAATTAGAAATAGTCCGTAGGTAAGCGGGGTCGGTTGCTATAGCAACTAGTCTATTTAGGTCCTAGGAATTCGAAACACATTTCGGATATATACCGGCTATATATGCCGGCTATATTACCTTATACGTAAACGCTTCGTCTCCTTAAAGCTACTCTAAGCCTATATACGTTTCCGCTTCTCGACCCGGTATCGCCTTCTACCTCCGCCCTCCTCCTCTTCGTTATCGCTAATTAGGGTTTCGCTTAGACTAAATTTCGTATTCTCTTCGCGCTCCTAGGTTTCTTCGATCTTAAGGTTTTCTAATTCCTCGATTAACTCCTTTAGTGTAATCTTTAGTAACCTACCTTAGCGATTCTAGTAGAGGAGATAGTATCGGAATACTATAATAGATTCGAAGGTAGTAGGCGAGTATATTCGATTAAAGCGGCCCTAGTAACGAGCGATACTAAAAGACCTCTTATAGCCTATACCTACGCTCGGGATAGCGAGGACGTCCCGAGCGACCGACGCTATCGTTAGAAACTTAGGCTCTAACCGCTGCTATATAGCGAGAATATCGTCTCCGAATTCGTCTAGAAGACCGGTAAGATCTAGAGATTATTAGCCCTCTTTCCGAGCCTACGGGTTTATACTTACTCGCGCGCCGATAGAGATCGAACTCTTCTTTATTTACTTTAGTAGTTGCTTCCTCTTCTACCTCTACTTCCTACCTACGAAATAGGTATAATATCGGAGCCTTCTAAACCTTCTTTTTCTTTATAGGAGCTGTATTTAGACTAGTTTCTTTCCGACGCTTATAGAATATCTTTTCTAGAATAGTCTAGTAATGCTTCGGCTATACCTCGTCCGCCTTCTATTCCGGCCTCTACTAGTATATATCCTTTTCTACCGGGTTAAGTAAGTACGCAACGCTATAGATATCCCTAAACGAGTTAAAGGTAGTACTATAATATTTATATAACTTAGTATAGGAGGTATCTATAGCTTTCGTTATAGCTACTTTCTAGGGAACGCTCTTCTTAGCTAGCTTAGCTACGGTTTCCTCGAGCTCGTTAAAGAGCTAGTTATAGTACGTAAAGACAAGGTAGATCGTCGGTCCTCGGGTTCTTCTAATCGTAGTAGTAACCTTCGCGTAATACTTACTAATATCGACGAGATACTCTACTTAGCGCTATTCGGCGGCGGTAAGGCCGAGCTACTTAATACCCTCGGAACTCTAATAGATCTCGAGAGCGGTACGTAAAGTACATCCCCTCGTAACTATATAGAAAGTCGAATCGAACCGGGTTTTAACGTCTTAGGTAAAACGGAGTAGGCGCTAAGGAGGCCGCTTTTACTATCGCTTATTCTATACGATATTCTAGGTATCGGTTTTAGGGCGCTCGATTAGGTTCTTTTAAATAGCCTCGAATCGGTTATATCTCTATAAGCTCGAGTTCGTATATATTGCTAGACGACGAAGCTAGAGAAAAAGAGTTAGAACTATACTAGGTTGCCGGCTATAGGTGCCGGCTACGGACAAAAGTTATACCTTATATAAAACGAGAGCGAGGCTCTCTACCTTATCCCGTCTTATTACTATAATAAGTTTCTCGACTTTCGACTTTGCTTTATCCTTATCTAGGATCTTCTATTAGTCGTCGTTTAATAGTACAATTTTAAGCGTCTTAAAGAGGGCTCGGATCGCGATTTAAACTATATAAGCGAGGTAGGGAAACTTCTATAGGGATGTAACTAGCAACGACGTCGGCTCCGATTCGTTAGGGCTAGGGCTATTAATAGGCTCCTCTTTATCGTTATTATCGTACGTATTGTCGTACGTATCCGGAATCGTAGCGAGCTTAATATTCGGAAGATTAAGCTAGATTGTAGACCTTATAATCTCCTCTACGTACTCGACCCTATCGATATAATTAGTAATTTTAAAGACATATACGAGTGAATTGTATATACAACGCCTTATATAATGTTCGATTATTACTAGCGTTATCCGTAGTAATCGAGATTAGTTTCGTTGTTACGCTAACCCTATCTATTACCGTATAGACAAGCTTCGCTATATCCTTACTAGTATAGGAACCTAGAATTTTAGGGAATCCGATTATAAGTTCCTAGAGTTTCTAATCCGAATTAATAAAGTATAGTATAATCGAGAGGAAGGAGGCTCTTATAGTCCGGCTTAACTAGCTATCGATAGTAATAGCTACTCGGCGAGTATTACGGGGGATCTCCCGAATGTCGTCTAACGTAGCCTCTTTATTCTTTTCGAACATAATACGCTAGGTTGTCGCGCCGAGAAATAGGGGAGGGTAGTTTATAAGATATAGGTATGTCTTCTATATAGACTCCCTTTCGTAGAAGTCTTCCGGAAGACCGTTTATAGCTAGCATTTCGTTTGCTAGTTGCTTAAAGTCTTCGGGGGAGAAATCGGTAGCCTTCAATCCTAGAGCTTCCTTAAGCGTAGCCTATAATAATTAGCTAGACCTCTACGGTTGATTTAAGTAGCCGGAATCTATAGCCGGAATCTATAGCCGGAATCTGTAGCCGGAATCTATAGCCGGTAGCTGTAGCCGGCAGCTATAGCCGGCATTTTAGAAGACGTACCTCTTTCTAGAACGCTATATCTATATTAACTCTCCTCTCTCTTTAAGATTCCCGATACTATTTAGAATAGAGATAGTTCGTAGGCGATAAGTTCCTATCCCCTAGTTTCGGGTATTTTAAGATTAAACCGTAGAAGTTACAGACAATTACTAGTTAACCTTTAAGTCGAGAAGTCGTATAACGGTACAATGCCCCCTCTATAAAGAACTTCTAGAATGTGTCCGTTCGCTCCTTACTCCCCTATCGTATCGAGTACTTCCGGAGTTTATACTCCTTCGAACGTAAGTATAAAGAGAACTATATCTTATAGACCTATTGATTGAACTGCTTTATATACTCGGGTTTCTAAAGATACGCCTAGCTAGCCTTTTCGAAGATTTCCGGGTTAATACTCGATATTCTTATATCTCCGAACAACCTTCTACTTAGACTCCGTAAAGGTAAGGACTAGGTAGTAGTACCCTATAATAAATTCCTACTACTAGGATTCGGAGAGGATAAATCTAGCCCTAATCGTCGTCTAGGACTCGATAGGCTCGAAGGTAAGTATACGACCTTCTCTCGACGTTGTCGCAATCTCGCTCGTATACTAGACTATTTCGACTATCGTCTCGTTATTACCCTTCCTAGTATAGCGCCTAGTATATATACAATGTCGGTCGGCATGTTTTAAGGTTTCGTACGGTAAGGTAAGGACTTAGGAGTAGTAGATATATACTAGTAGCTATAGGGAAACACCCTTTCTTTTATAGCATCGTATCGTTAGGAACAGCTAGGTAGTAAATAGCTAGCTACCTTTTTTTTTGTTTCCTAGCTACCTAACTACTAGATTTTTTTTCCTAGCTACCCTAGCTAGCCTAACTACTAGAATTTCTTTCCTAGCTACCCTAACTACCTGAATTTTGCCTTCTATACGGCGGCTCTCTCCTACTAACGGAACCGAGCTACTATACCTAACGAATCTAAGCTCGTTTTTAGTCTTAATCTATCCTCTTTCGGTATAAGATACTCGACAAGTAAATGCTTAGGCCGAGTCTAACTACGAAACCTAAGACTAACTAACAGCTCTATTAACTAATCCTAATCCTCGAACTCCTTCCGCTTCTTAGTAAAGACCTTAAAGAGCGCTCGAGCTTCTTCGGGTGCCTACGGAGTAGTCGAGATAAAGCCGTATCGCTAAAATAGGTAATCCTTCGGAGGCTTATATAGAGATTTAGAGAATTCTAACGCCAACCTATCTTACTAGCAGCTTAGATTCCGGATATAAGCCCTCTCTACCTTAGTAAAGATTTTATATAGTAGTAGTACTCTACCTTCGAGAAACGCTTTCTATTTAACTATTAGTATCTACCGGCTACGAACGCCGGCTATATATGCCGAGTATAGAATAATTACCTATACCCCTTCCTCCTATAGTAACACTTCTACCGTCTCTAGATACCTAGCCCCGATCGCATTAATCGCAAGCTACTTTGCCTTTATAGACGCAAAGGCTTCGCTCTAATACTAATAAAGAAACTTCTACTCTATATCGAGGATATAAAGACGACTAGTCTCGATTCCAATCCTTGCTAGCTTTTCGTAGTAGCTTTAACTATAATTTTCTAGATTAATAGGACTTATACCTTAGCCCTTTACTAGTATCTCGTCTCTTTAACTATACTCGATCCACTCCTAGCGCTTATCGTCTATAGCGTTAGACCCTAAGACTATACCTATTACTAGATCGACGTATAGTATCTCCTCGCTTTTTTTAGTTCCTTTATTCGTAGTATTAAGCTCTGTCGCGGCATCCTAAACTCTAGTATTATTGTTCTCGGCTATCTAAACATCTCCGTTACTATCGGTCGTATCGATAGAGGTAGCGGCTATAGGTCTAAATACTATTAGTTAACGTATTAAAGAAAAATATGCCGGCTATAGCTGCCGGCTACGGCTACCGGCTACGGCTGCCGGCTATAGCTGCTAGCTACGGCCGCTAGCTAGATTGACTTACGCTACTAGAACTTTACGCTCGAAAACTAGCCGTAATTCTTTCCTCCTCTTAGCCTTCTCTTAGGTTGTCTTCTTATTCTAACCTTCACTTTTTTCTATAGGCGCTAGCTATCGATAGAATGCCTTATTCCGCGCCTTTCTTCTCTTATCCTTAGCTCTTTTATCCTTATCTATCTTGTCCTTTCTCTCGCGGTCTCGTACGGAATTCTTCTTCGTAGAGTACTCCTCTTTAGTCTTACGCTTTTTAGTTAGACGCTTAGGCAAAACAAACTCGCGGTCTTTAGTTCTATCTTCTATTTAGCGCGCGGCGCGCTTCTCTTTTACTATTATAAGGGAAAGGGGCGGGGGCGTAGCGTATAGTAGTTATTATTAGTATAGGTATAGAGGAAGAAGTTGAAAGTATAAGAATATCGCGAAGCCCTAATTGTTGCCGCCTACGTAACGTTATATAGGTAAGCTTTCGCAACTACGGCAACTACGCCCCGGCAATAGCAACTACGCCCTAGTAACGGCAACTACGCCCTAGCAACGGCAACTACGCCCTAGCAACGGTAATAAAGCGTAGTAAATACAACCTAGTAACTATTATAGCCGGCAATCGTAGCCGGCAGTCGAATAAGAGTGTCCTTATAGCAAAACTACGCCCTAGTAACGGCAACTACGCCCTAGCAACGGCAACTACGCCCTAGCAACGGCAAAAGAGCGTAGTAAATGTAATAGAGTTACTATTATAGCCGGCAATCGTAGCCGGTAGTCGAATAAGAGTGTCCTTATAGTAAAACTAATACAGTCTCTAGTTTAAACTAGGAATCTATATAGTTCGAAAAAACTAAACCGGAACTAGGGAGCTAGTTCGCCGCTAAGAAACCAAACTATATACGTTTAGTAGTTCGGAAACCGAACTACTACGGGGTCTATTTAGTATACTAGCGGAAATCGCACTACTACCCTTACTACTACCCTTACTACTACTACGGTCGACCTAGTAACTATAATATATAGCGACGACGAGATTACGTTTTCTATAGTTACGTATACTACGGCGCGGACTTCTATATCTTACCGAGTCCGCTATAGTAGGAACTTGCCGGCGTAGCCTATCCTAGCGCTTTAGGTATTATACGGTTTGCCCGAAAATATAGTAGTTAATACGGGAAGCTAATCGGAGGTAGGCTCGGACTCGGCTCCGCCTAACGCGATAATCTAGGCTCTAGACTTGTCGTAGTCGCAACACTCCTATACCTATAACCTAAAGGCTTCTCGCTCGACTGCCGTATAGGATATAGCTAATTCTAATAATAACCGGAGCGTTTGCCGACTTCTAAGTCCTTCGCTTACTTAATAGGCTATCTCGAATTTTGTCTACTATAGACTTTATAAGGCTTTAAGAGGTCTAGACGAGAGGTATGCTCGACGTACGATAGAAGGTTATAGGCTCTCGTAGCAGCTAATAGGGACCTCGTAATAGCGGCAAAGGAAGCCGTTTGTATTAGATATGCGAGCTTAGTAACTATAATAACTCTCTAAACTATACGCGCCGGGCAGCACTAGCTTTATTACTACTACTACTACCGACTACCGAGTCCGAAAGCTAGGTTAGCTTCCCTTTAAGATTACCCTCCGCCTCGTAGGCCGATTCTATAACGCCGTTACTACTGCCGATATAACGTTCCGGTAGCACAACCTACCGAGTACGATAAATCTCTTTTAGGGCCTTCTTAAGATATTACGAGACAGATATAGCAACGAGGGGATAGCTTTAGTATCTCACTAATATAGTAATAAGCTATTCCTAGTAGTACCGGATGCACCTTTAAATAGTAATACTATCGCGCCTATCGCTTAGTAGCCGGATTATAGACTACGCGCGGGTATAAGTATAGGGAGATGCAAGGACAAATAACACTGCTCGCATAGTTATTGCTATTGCCTTTTACATGTCCGGCTCCCTTCTATAACATCGAAATTTAGTTATCTGCATTTCAAAAGGCGGCCTACAAGAGCTTTGCATCTAAACACATATAGACATGAGTTTCACGCAAATGGCTCTAGGGCTATACCGAATCTTAGCTGCGTGCCTTCGACTCCCCTCTCTACTGTTCTATCTGTGTTAGCAACTCTACGATAATCAATCAAAAGCGACGACAGCGATCATAACAACCAAGCCATCCCAATCGGCAATCCACGACCATCCGCTTCCTGCGATCCTACGATCATCGAGTGCTCCTGCTCCTCAGCAAGGAATTCAATTCCCATAGCACCACACAAACCCGACGCCCGTTGGACCATCCACCATCATGGCAGTAGCATGAGACGTACGAGCCCAGTGTCCTGGCGTCGCACCACAGAAACGAAGACAGAGGCGGAGGAGAAGATGGAGAGGGAGGCGGAGATGGAGGGCGAGGCGCAGCCAATGCTACAAACACAGTAAGAGTGAGAAACAGAGAGCGACTTGACATCGGCGGACAGAGTGTTAACAGCCAGCGAGACCACGCGTCCAGAGCCACGACGTGGAAGGCAAGAAAAGTTTGGACAACAAGACGGGCGCTCAAACAATTCAGATCGGAAGATATTTGTAGTGTGGTTATGATTGATCTGCGGAGGCGATAGGAGGAGCTGCGGTATCAGACTACATTTCTCAGATCGAACGATATGGGATTTCTTCTCGTCTGCAGCACATTGTAGCCTGCCAGTCCCCTTCTCAGGATTGCCGAGAGAACTCCCCAAGTCTGGACATGATATCAGCTCGTGTGCTGCCTACGAAAGACCCAACCATATGTGTAGATCCAGGACAACGAGCCACTCCACGGCGGCTAGATGTGCTGCCGCCACAATACTCTTTTGAAGCTTTGCTGGCTGGAACCACCATGCTGACGGGCATTCCTGTCGTGAACATGGCGCGACTCATGAACATCTCATATGCATGCCTTGGAATCGGTAAATTGAATGGGGGAAATGTCGACAAGTCTTGCACGAAAGATGATATCAACGTCAAACATGAAGCTGGTATGAAGAAAGCACGTCAAGTGTCGTGCCTACAAAGCGTTCCCAGGATCTCGATGGCGGACGAGTCGGATTCGGGAATGAGGCGCAGACGACGTTCTGATCGACACAGGAGAGGAAGTGCATACATTTGATCCCGCAATCCGGCGTACACTCGACATGTGTTCTGGGAACTTCGCAGCAGAGGTGTCAAGGAAAGACGGGGGGAGGGAGTTCTGATTGAAGTGAGAGGCCTCGTGCCGCCGCTGAAGAAAGCGGAGGCGGAGCCATGCGCTTTGGTGCGCTTCATCGATGGCAGGCAGGCTGGGCAAGCGCGAACACCCACCAACAGGCAACTTCACATTTATGATTCCACAAATGAGTTGACCTGACCCACGAATTTCACGATCCAGAAGCAATGCCTGCACGAACGCGATACATCTCGCTCTCACAGATGCGGGCAGGAGTTGTTCTTGCCTTTTTCTCACTCGATCAGAAGCGCAGCAGTATGCACCTGCGAGCGATCCGCGGAGTGTTTTCATCGATGAGGACAGAGACACGCCCCATCCAGGAGACCACCTTGCCGGACTCGCCAATCTTGTGTGCCATCTGGTCGCGAGCGCCGTCTACGCCCGGCTTCGCTGCACAAGTTCAGTACTGCGATTGTCACGTTCTCCAGGTCGGCCTCTACAGGCATGGGTTGCTTGCGGGCAGCCATGTGCCCCTTTTCCGTATCTCGGTAGCAGCCTGTTGTGGGCCTCTCCGTGCAATCCTCTTCTACCATCGACAAACATCGGACCCTTCCGACGTTTATCCTCCAATGTGCCTTTGCGACATCCTTCAGCTCCAGAATCGCTCTTTGCGAGTGGTCATTCGTCGAAGCTTCGCAGGGGATCTGTCATCTTGACGCAGAAATCCATGCCATCGAATCGCAGCGCTCGAGGGTGTGAGAGACGTTCGCCGGCCAGTGTCAATCCGCACTTTGGAAGCATGCTGGCACCAAGGCCATGTGAGCTTCCAGATCGTGATTACAGGAACAGCTGTATTCAGGATCGCAGCGTCTGCACAATCTTCACGCGGCATACATCATGAGCGATCTCGCTGGGCCGCTAAAGAAAGTTCAAAGTCTGGAGACGGACGGGCCAAAGACTGCTGGGTGGAAGCCGGAAGTAAGCATGGGAGAACAAGAGAGTGCTTCCGCGTTGCTTTCTCCTCCCATCGTCTCAACCTCCGAGGGTACCAATGGCTGCTTCAATGGGCCCATGGCTGCTCCAACAACACTGGCGAAAGCAATCTCGAAAACCGGCAACAACATCAAAGCACCCAAGAACACCACTGACACCCGGCAAAGGCGCCAGAAAAGGAACCAAGCCACGATAAGAGAGAAGAAGGTCACAAGAAATGGCTGGCTTGGTTGGAGTCGGTCCGCTGGATTGCACATCAGCGTGACTGGGTGAGCTCGCTCTAGCCTTGCCTGATCCTGCCGCACTGTGGCTATGCCAAATGGACCTGCGCCGAGGGTTGACATCCTTCTACAATAACCGCAAAAGGACCTTGCTGACCGCCTTGTCAACGTCCTTAGTAAAGCCGAGCAGAACTTCCTAGACTTTCTCGAGCATCTTAGGCGAAAGGAGGGCACCAAATCAGAATTCAACGATGACGCTGACGATGAAGCAGAGGGTCGTTTTGGCAGCGCTGAGGCTGGGTTTCTATACTAGCCATATCGAGAACCTTGCTCGAGACCTTGTCAACGTCTTCGTTGAGTGCTAGCCGAACATTCCAGACTTTCTCAAGTGTATCAAGCCAAGGAGGGCAGTTCAACGATGACACTGACGACGAGGCAGAGGGTCGTTTTGGCAGCGCTCAGGGTGGTTTTGGCAGTGCTGATGACACCTGATTGGGGCGTTGATGCTGATGGTTGCGCCGACGCTGCTCCAGATAAGCATGGCGACACCAATGATACATGCTGCTTGTTCATATTGAGTCCGGAGGTCCGTTATGCTATGGCAAGCATCGGGCGCGTTGCGAGCATCCCAAGACTGTCGCAGCAGTTCCTCCATACCAGCACGCTCCTGTCACGGCAGCAAAGGGACTGGAATATGAGCGCAAGTCTGCTCGAAACTATTCGCCATTAGCCCTATAAGGTGCTTCTCGATTATGCGATCTCGGCAAGGGAGTTGAGAGATAGTATTAGTATAATTGTTAATAGAAAACTAGTGCTGCGAATAGTAGTAGTCGTATTAGTTAGTAGTTTTAGTTTTAGTAGAAGTAGAAGTATATAGCAAAGATATACTACGCTATATAGAGCTAGTAACTCGGCGCTTTCGTTTTCGATAGGCAATCGAGCCGGGAGTAGGATATAGTATAAGAGGACCTCCGCTTTAAATTAGTTTTATTAATAGTGTAATTTCGAATACTTGTCGAATTATCTACTACTTTCTATCTTAAGATACCTCTAAGAAGATAGAACTTCTCTAGGGTCTAGAAAGACGTTATTAGTACGTATTATCTACTACCGCTAGGATAGTATTAGTTATAACTAGGGTATAGCTAGGAATCGATTACTATAGCTAGACTATATACTTTCGAGTACGGATTATATAAAAGGATTAGTAGTAGAGTAGATAACTAAGGAGAGCTTATATAGTAAAACTATAGTTAGTTAAGCTTACGGTAAATAGAAGGAATTTTAATATTAGTCTAATTACGTATATCTAACCTAAACTAACCTAAACGCCGCTATAGCTAGTATCTAGTATATACTCGACGAACTTAAGCGAGAACTTTCGCTTCCTCTCTCTTTAGTATACTATCGACGTTTTTCCTTACTTACTCGTACCTAAAACGATTTAGTAGTATACTCCCTAAGTTTCTTTATATAGAATTAGTCCTACTTTTATAGATTCTCGAGAATATACGTTATAAAAACTTTTTTTTCCGATCGCGACGATCCTATCGATAGGATCCTTAGGATCCTCGGGATCGTATATTAGTAAGCGAGGATAAGTAGCGCGTTAAATATAGTAGTAATATAGAAGTTTATAAAGGGATATTTCTAAAGTCTTACAAATTTACTACGTTATAGATAGGCTAGAGATCGCGGCTCTATAAGGTAGAGAGTTCCTAATAGTATTTCGGGGTTATTTTAAGTTTATCGAGGAGATTAGGAGCTTCTAGTTACTCTTATATAGGTCCTCGTATTATAGATAAGCGGTAAACCGATAGAATTGCTTACTATTTAAACAAAGAACTTACTAGCTACTTATATACCCTAGCGCTAAGCTATCTCCGTTTTAGCCCCTTCCTAGTTAAACGTAAGTAGTAGAGGCAGGCACAATACGTACCTTCTACTATCGGATCTTTAACTGACTGTGCCTGCTTACTACTCCTTGCGTTAGCAAGGGTCTAAGGACAAAAGTTAGCCGTTGTAAGCTGCGTTCCTTATAGTTTTAGAGTATATATATCTAACGCTATACAATATACTAGAATCGAATTCAAGGTTCTATACTATATTGCGAAGTGTTTCCGACTGCAAGGAAGAAGTTCAAAGAGATAGGTTAGAAGATATCGATATAATAAGATAGCCGTACAGCGTGTGTATCTAGATTGCGCCCGGGTTAGCAGCTAGTACTTAGCGCAATTAGCGTAGCTAGCCCTCTCCTGCGACATTTTATCTTAACCTAGGCAAAGTAATACTTAAACATCCGGAGCTTAGCAAGTAGGCAATTCTTAACGACCTCCGATAGTTCAATCTCCGATTTCTATATAGCAATATCGTTATCTAAAGCGCATCCGGACGCCATTCGTATAGCGTTTCTTACGAAGGGCTGTTTTGTAATTTTCATTCGTCTGCCTTTAGAGATATAGTACGCTTTATATAGAGAGATGTATGTATTAAAGTCGTGCCTAGGTGCGATTCTAATATGACTTTTGATAAAAATGCGTAGTTATTATACTACACTCCTATATACAACAACGTATAAGGCTCAACCTATAGGATTTACGACATTTGTCCTTAGGCTCTTTATAGAAGACTTCTTCTAGCCGCTAAACCAGATATAGAAGAAAGTAATAGCAACTAAGATAATGTAGAAGGTGTACACAAAGCGGAAGAAGTCACTATAAAGAGCCTAAGAAGGAGGTAGGCGCTAAGAATTATAAGCTATTACTAAGCCGTAAGTAAATAGTCTTTTAACTTCCTTCTCCTCCTCTTACTTATAAATTTAACTAGCCTCGTATATTCTCTAGTATTCTAATACTCCCTCTACTTAGCTATCTAGCCGTAAACTAAATAGCTAAGTCCTAATCCTTCTTAATCGTTTTTATCCCTAGGACTCGTTTTACGTTTTCTTCGAACTTCCCTTTTATTAGGGATTTAGTAAAGAAGTCCGCGATTTAGTCCTTTGTTAGAATATACTTTATATCGACTAGCTTATCTTTAACTAGTTCCCGTACGTAGTATACCGCTACGTCGATATATTTCGTTCTAGAATAAAATTTAGGACTTCGTACTAAAGCGATAGCCGCCTTATTATCCCTATAGATAGTCGTAGGTTCTTTATAGTCGTCTTCCGGAAGGTATACGACTTACTCGAGGAGACTTCGGATCTAAATAGCTTCTTTTGTAACGTAGGATAGCGCTAAGTATTCGGCTTCTATAGTAGTAGTTATTACGGACCTTTATAGTTTAGTAGACTAAGATATAGGTCCGCCGGCTAATAGGGATATATATCCTATCGTTAACTTCCTATTCGAGTCCGCCGCGTAATCCGAATCGGTATAGATAACCGGTAGACGAGTAACTAGAGTACCTATATTGTTTTCGTTCTTCGGGATAGGACTATACTTTATATAGTAGTCCCGAGTGTTCCCTAGGTATCTAAGGCTATAGATACCTCCGTCGTAGTATCTCCTAGCCGGATTTACCGTAGATTAGCTTAGTCTTTACGTTAGAAAAGATATATCCGGCCTCCTAGCTCGTACGGTCTAATTTAGTTTTCCGATAACTAGTTAGTATCTCCGGACGTCTACTACCTCCTCGTCCTTCGTTATAGGTAGTAAATTCGTATATCCGGTTACCGGAGTCGATACTCGGAAGGTTTCGTTCAGATCTAAGCCCTCTTCTCTAAGCGTATTTTCGATATAGTGCCTTTAATCTAGTAGTATAGATCCGTCGGCCTCTCTCTCGATTCGTACGCCTAGTATAAACTTAGCGGGACCTAGATCCTTTATTCCGAACCTCTATATAAGTACGTCCTTTAGCGGTTTAACCTCCGCTTCTATCTTCGCTAGTATAATAAAATCGTCGACGTATAACGAGACTATAAAGTACTATATAGGCAGGTACTACCTAAGGGTTACCGAGCGAAGCGAGACCTAAGCGAAATAACCGTTAGAAGTCGTTACTATATTGCTATAGGACTATATCGTAATATATATCGTAGCGGTATATCGTAATAGGGTACCGTAGTATTATTGTCGTAATATCGTTATCGCTATAGCGTTATATTATCGCAGTCCTAAGGAAGAAGTTACGTAGGGGGGACATTTTAATTTCTTCTAATTAGAGGCCGAGCCTAAATTTATAGTAGCGGTTCTTAAGATTAAACCCCCGGCAAATACCTTATACGTAACGCAACTACTTCTAACTATTATTCCGCTTAGCTTGTAAATAGATAATACCTCCGTATCCTCGTTATAAGCTCCTCGAATACTTTAGCTTATACCTATTTACTTCGCTTCGCGCGGATTAGCGTATAGTCGCTATTAACGAAGACCGATTAATCCGCGGGTATAGCGTAGAAGTCGTATTCTTTAAAGAAAGCTATAATAGCTTTATTCTAAACTCGTCCGGATTGTTTTAGTCCTAGTACTCCTTTTAGGAGTTTAAGTACCTTATTAGTTTCGGGAACGTCTAGGCCTTCTAGGATAGCTAGGTAGACTTCGTCCGTTAGTTCTCCGAGTAGGTAGGTACTTACTACGTCTATTTGGAATACAGCAAGTCCTTTACTAGCGGCAATAGCTAGGAGAAGGTATAGGCTTTCGAGACGTATTACTAGAGAGAACGTCTTAAAGTAGTCGATTCCGTAGCGTTACGTAAAGCCCTTTCCTGCTAATCTCGCTTTAAACTTATCGATTTGTCTATTCGGTAGAATCTTTGCTTTAAACCCCTATTTTAGAATAATAATATTTATTTACCCTTTTCCGCCTTTTAGCCTAGGGTAGTTAGGAACCTCGTAGGTATTATTAGCCGTTAAGGACTCGATATATTCTTTAATAGCGTCTTTCTCTTCTCGGGAGTAAGGGTCGTTAATAGCTTCCGTATAGGTCTCGGGAATAGGTATTTCGAAGGCCCTTCGATAGTCGGCTTTTAGAGCCGCTAGCCCTATCTCGTCCCTTAGTCTCTTTAGTACTTTAGAGACTCTCGTAGTCCTTCTTAGTCCTTCTTCGTCTATATTTAAAGCCGTAGGAGTAGTAAATAGTTCTCGAGTTATTCTACCGTTATTATTAAAACTATCTTCTTCGTCTTCTAGTTTTAGAGTATTATCTTTAGCTTTAGAATCTCCCTCTATTTCCTTAGATCTTACTTTATCTAGGAGATCGATATCGTCGTCGTTATCTATAATAGGCCGTAGGGTAGGTAGCTCTTCTCCGGATAGTAGACTACTTCCTTTAGTCGATTCGTCGAATTTAACGCTAGTATAGATCCTAATAGTATTCGTCTTAGGATTATAGATCCTATACTATTTCGTAGACTTCGTATATCGGACGAAGATTCCTAGAAATACTATATTTCCTAGCTTAACTTTCCTTTTCTCTTTAGGAATAAACAGATAGGCTAGATAGCCGAATACCCGTAAGTATTCTCCGCTAAGCTTTCTTCCGGTATAGAGCTCCTTAGGAGTTTTATCTCTTCTTTAAATAGATAGCCTATTCTGTAGATAGGTAATCGTATAGGCCGCTTTACTCTAAAATCGTTTAAGTAATCCGGATTCTTCTAAAGCCGCCCGTATCTTAGTTATAATAGTACGGTTTTGTCTCCCTATTATTCTATTTTTTTCTAGAGTATAGGGCGTCGTTATTTCGATTCGTAGTCCTAGATAGGCCTTAAGAGCTTTAAAAAGCTCCGGAGCGT